GGCAAAGGGGGTCGTCGTTCATGGGTTAATTCCCTGCCATGTCAGAAAACAGTGCCACATCAGCAGCTTAAACAAAGATTAAGCCACCGCGTGCAACGCACATGACGAGTTCTCGCCGGAAAAGTGGTCGCCGACGAGAAAAATGACCTAATTGGTAATTTTATTCAATTAAAATGCCTTATCGCCGAATTTCCTAATTAAAATACCTTCTTGGCAAATGGGGTTGAAATAAAATACCAATATGGGTATTTAGCCGATTCAAATATGTTAAAGACTCTTGTTGACTTTTATAGTATACAAAAAATTAAACATCAAAGAGGAAACTAAAAGGAAGTTCCCAGTCTACTTCCTATCAAATTCTAACATAGCTAAATTTAATTTAAGCCCGAAAAAGCTTTAGTTGTGCTTGGCTCAAAAACCCACCCTCTAGATGCACGGCACAAAAGGGGGTTGAGAAATTGTGGGGAAGTGTAGTTATTAAATTTTGTAGATTTGGGTTTAAAATGAATTTAAATAAATGAATTTTAGTAGTATGTACACTTGTATGTATTTATCAAGTTAATCACAACATTAAATTAATTAGGTTGGTAAACTAGCTAATTCTGAATTAATCATTTAGATTTATTGTTATACATGCCTTCACTAGTATGCTTTATTACATCTGTCTATCCCTATGACACGACACCTTGCCCTAATTGTTGATAGTAGCATGTTGTCCGCTTCATGTCATTCTTATCTTCTCCCTCTGCATGCCCTCTTATCACCCTTTCTACCGCACAATAGAGTTCCCATCTTCGACAAATACTTGTACACTCTCTCATAAATTTAATTCGCACAATCACCCCCATCATCTTCTGTTAGGATCTAGACGCAAGCCTGGAAAGGGAGGTTAAATAGGATTGCTAGTCTTTTTTTTAAAAAAATTTTAAATAAATACTGAAATATCTCAGTTATTGCAGTAGAACTAAACAAAATAAAAAAAACAACTACAGAACAATCACAACCATGATGATTTTATAGTAGTTCTGACAGAAATCCAACATCCACTCTTCCTCCTTCTTAGGAGGGGCTTCGGTACTATATGACAAGGTTCCTTGAATTACAAACCCCACTCCACTAGGCAAATACAAGACGACACCCTAGACTAACCCTAATCTAGTCGCCTCGGCTAATAACCTCTCATAATGGTGTAACCCTAGCTCCTGCTAGTAACGTTCTTTCTCAATTCACCTTGGTTTGAGTATGCCATCAACCTTTATTCTCAATTATCTAGGCTTGAGTATGCCGTTAAAAAAGAAAATTGATCACAACGATCATAAACATAGTGTATTACAAAAATTATATTGTTTAAGCACAAATAAAAAAAGACCTTACAGTCATTTTAATTGCAAACCATTCTTCAAAGGATTTGGATTGTAGTTCAGAAAGAACGACGTTGATGTGATTTTAGGACTGACTGCACTCTGCAAAGAAATGGATCTGATGATGAAGCTCACTCTATAGATGTATAACAAAGAATTCAAAAGGCAGTTGCAATAGAAATCTCCTTCAAACCCTGGAAAAGATCTCCTTTTTCTCTTAATAAAGCTCTCTTCGTCTCAGCAATTTCTCCACAAATTCTTGTAGAGAAAAGATCTCCTTTTTCTCTTAATAAAGCTCTCTTCGTCTCAGCAATTTCTCCACAAATTCTTGTAGAAAAATAGCCCTAGAGATATACATATAGATTTATCAAAAGAATGGTCGAGATTGCGTCTCACAAAACAAAGAGGTCTACTGCACACTCTCTCATAAATTTAATTCGCACAATCACCCCCATCATCATCTGTTAGGATCTAGACGCAAGCCTGGAAAGGGAGGTTAAATAGGATTGCTAGTCTTTTAAAAAAAAAAATTTAATAAATACTGAAATATCTCAGATATTGCAGTAGAACTAAACAAAATAAAAAAAACAACTACAGAACAATCACAACCATGATGATTTTATAGTAGTTCTGACAGAAATCCAACATCCACTCTTCCTCCTTCTTAGGAGGGGCTTCGGTACTATATGACAAGGTTCCTTGAATTACAAACCCCACTCCACTAGGCAAATACAAGACGACACCCTAGACTAACCCTACTCTAGTCGCCTCGGCTAATAACCTCTCATAATGGTGTAACCCTAGCTCCTGCTAGTAACGTTCTTTCTCAATTCACCTTGGTTTGAGTATGCCGTCAACCTTCATTCTCAATTATCCAGGCTTGAGTATGCCGTTAAAAAAGAAAATTGATCACAACGATCATAAACACAGTGTATTACAAAAATTATATTGTTTAAGCACAAATAAAAAAAGACCTTACAGTCATTTTAATTGCAAACCATTCTTCAAAGGATTTGGATTGTAGTTCAGGAAGAACGACGTCGATGTGACGTTAGGACTGACTACACTCTGCAAAGAAATAGATCTGATGATGAAGCTCACTCTATAGATGTATAACAAAGAATTCAAAAGGCAGTTCTAGAAAAGATCTCCTTTTTCTCTTAATAAAGCTCTCTTCGTCTCAGCAATTTCTCCACAAATTCTTGTAGAAAAATAGCCCTAGAGATATACATATAGATTTATCAAAAGAATGGTCGAGATTGCTTCTCACAAAACAAGGACAAATTTTCAAAATCGACCCTTTTGGGTTTTTATTTGCAAAAAACAACCGGTTTTAAAAAAATTTATAAAAACCGACCTGTTTCCAGCCCAGGCGCTGAAAACAGGTCGGTTTTTATAAAAAAATTTGGGAAACTTCACGGGAGTTCAACTCCCGTGAAGTTTAGTGTATTTTTAAACTTCACGGGAGTTGAACTCCCGTGAAGTTTAATTTCTTCATAAATCTTCACGGGAGTTCAACTCCTGTGAAGATTTATGAAGTTCGTAATGACAACTACCCACAGCTACGCTAGGAAGGGAGTTAGTTTTTGGGGGGGATGAAACTCCACGGGAGTTCAACTCCCGTGGAGTTATAGGCCGCATTTCCCAGAAAGCGCTCTCTGGGAAATGTCGCCTGTAACTCCACAGGTGTTGAACTCCCGTGGAGTTTGGCGTGCCTATAAAAGGCGCGCGTGACCCAGCCCGACCCCAGCCCGATAAACCCTAGCCTGCCTCCCTCATCCCCAATTATCGTCGCCCCAGCGCCCGAGCGCCGCCGCCTCCTTTCCAATCGCCGGTGTCTCGCTGGCGTCATCAGATCTCAGTCTCAGTCTAAAAAACAGGTAAATTCTTCCAAAAAAATTTTATACTCTCTAATTTTTGTATACTCTCACTATTTGATTGTGATTACATGTAAAAATCTAGATTTTGGAATTTAATTGTGAATTATTTACGAAATTTGTGAAGGAAAAAAATTCTGGAATTAGTGTGGAAATTATCAATACTTTTGTGAAATTAGAGGAGAAATTATCAATAAATGTGAAAATTAGTGTTACTACATATGTATGACATAAATTAGATTTTAGAATTTAATTGTGAATTATTTACGAATTTTGTGAAGAAAAATTAAATAATTTTGTGTATTTAGAGGTGAAATTATCAATTAATGTGGAAATTAGAGTTACTACCTAAATGTAAAAATTAGTAACAATCAATATTTATTCGGCTTTTCGTGTAATATTGATCTTGAATTTTTCACTCTTCAGAGGTAACGATGAACGATCGAATCGTAATTCTTTGTTCTTATGATGGGAAGATTAATTACCTCGAAAATAATATGTCTGTTTATGAAGGAGACGCGACGAGACCGTTGTTCATAACAAAATCGTGTACTTTCGATGAGTTGGTTAATGAATTACATAAACTTACATTAACCAACTCTTAGTGTGGTTTACAATTATCCTGTTGTGGGGAACAGAACAAGTGGCGTTCAAATATCAAGTGACTACGA